GACACCATGACAGCTCGGCTGGCGTGGGCTGCTGGGAAAGAATATGTATCCATGGCAACGTAGTCCAAAAACCCTGGAGGGAAATCCCACGGTCCTCTGCGTTTCACCAACTTCTGCATCCCAGCGACCGTCATCAGATCCAGGATCAGCGCTGCACACACACAGAGACACGAGGTCAAGTCAAGGAGACTTCAAAGAGAACATAAGTCAAGGAGACTTCAAGGAGAACATCTGGGATTTTCTCTGTTTTAGTATTTTCCCATCAACCCCGTCCAGAGACCAGCAGCATCAGTGGACATGGTGTCATCACCATAATCTGAAGACCCCGACCGCCCCCCCCCACCCCCCGTGTGTAGTGTCTGAATGAAGGAGGAGTCGGCTGCATGTGCACATGATCCACTGTAAAACTATTTCACACATCTTTGGCGATGAAACCAAAACTAATACTGGAATTAGCCTTATCTAACATGTTAGCCTAGCCATTGTAGCCAGTCTGGCTAATCAATAATAGAAATATTGATGTACCTGGCATCAGTTGCATGTGCATTGTCTTAGGAGGTTGAATTTATTTGTGTATGGTGACTATGCACTGTATACCAGCCCAACAGGCACTGTCCCACCACAGGAGGAGAGGAACGCAGCTACGTTGTGTTTGATTTTGAACCGGGACCCCCCTAGACCCCCAGACCCCTAGTTTGTTCCTAAAGATGTGTTTACATTATCACAGAAATAGATTTCACATGTGCTTCTTTGTTGCTGTGCATGTGGTTTCCCAAAAAGTGACCCTTGACCCCAGTTGCACTGACCATTGTGGGTGTAGCCACTGCTGACCACTGCTTGAAATGATGAAAAGCTACTTAGCCACCTCATGTTTCTGAATTTCCCAAACTGAACAGTAACAACTGTCCAAGACAGAATGGAGAAACATCAGTTGCTGTAACAGAGACTGTTAGAAGACATGCCGTTTAAGAGGATTACTGCACCAACCAGCACGAAATGTGCAGTAAAAGACCCTTGTTTTGTCTCAATAATGTGAACACACCTTGATACGCTCTGGCCAGAGGTTCAGAAGTGTGAAATGCAGGACCACTAGACCAAAAAACTCTTTCTTTCCCTCTGCCATCAGACTCCTAAACAGCTGAGGAGTTTATTACCAGGAAATACATGATGTACTGTTTACATTCTCACTTTACACATGCCTTAGATTTTGTGTTACTTATTTATCTACTTTATATTTCATTTGTATTTTGTGGCATTCATGTGGATGGCAAAGAAAGAATTTCATTGTACAGGGAAACACGTTTCCTAACTGTGCGTATGACAAATAAACACTTTGAACTTGAACTTCAGGACTCAGTATTTCTCACCCAGCAGCAGGTTGACAAGGACTTCCTGTCCAGCCAGCGTGTTGCTCCTCCACAGACAGATCAGGGTCCCGCAGAGCCAGAGGAGGGCATGTCCACTGAGGGCCAGCAGGGTCACCATAGAGCGGATTGGGGCTCCAGGGCCATGGGGCCTTGCACACACACTCAGACGCTTGGACAGGCTGATGTCAATGGCCAGCAGGGAGTTGATGGCAATGCCTCGAAATGATGGGTTCAGCTGCATACAGTCCTGCTCGGGCCAGCGAGGTGCCTCCTTTGCCCCCCCATCAGCTGCTGAGCCTCCCTCTGATGAGTCCCTGGATGCCCTGAGGACACAGAGACAAGGACAGTCTGAGAGCAGTTTCCTGCAGTGAGACTTTCTGTTTTTGGCTGTTTCCTTGCTCAGAGTGTGGTTCACAGGACCAGACCACTAAGTTTCAGGATCAGGTCTAGGATCATGTTGGTGTTGATGAGGATACTGATAATTGTCATAAAGGGTTCTCACTCTGCAGGTTTCAGATTCATAGAGTCCTGAAATTAACCAATAGCTGCCTGGAAGTTCACACATTCACCTATAAAAGTTAGTATTGTTCAGATTAACCCTTCACAACTCAGTGAGTGCTCTTGTCCTTATAGTCCTGGTTCTGGACCCTGTTGGTGCAGATATAAACAGCTCATCTGGACTGTAGACTTTATATGATTTATAACTAAGAGACTAAACCCCTAAAACTGAAAAGTCTGGCCCAGGACCAGGTCCATTACCATCTGATCTGATATAAACAACTGCTGTTCTGTTCAAACTCTAAATGTCAGTGGGTGGAGCCCAAGTCTTACCTCAGTCCTGCGTCCTCCTGCTGACTCTGCTGTCTGGACGAGACTTTCCTTGGACCACTACTTGCCCGCCCCTCCCCCGCCATCTGCTCCCTGCGGGGGGGCTGGTTCAAGGACAGAAACTCAGGCCGGTTCAGAACATTGCTCCGGTCTCTGGCCCGGCACCGGGCCTGGCTCCCGGGCATGACAAAGATGTTGGAGGTGTCGGTGGTGTTGGCGTGACAGTGTGCAGCACTGCAGGACTGTGACAGATCCCGTCTGAGTCTCTGAGGGACTCTACTATAAATAGATCAGCTGGCCTTCTTCTGCTGTCAGCTGTTCAGAGCACGGCTGGAAAAACACTGAACACACACACACACACACACACACACACACGCACTACATTAGAGGGCAATCCACCAGTTTGACAAGTAACAAGTCAGTTCACTGGCTGTGGTCGTGATGTGTTCATGCCACGTCAGAATTATGAAGATTCCCATCTTCTAGTGAATAAAATCGTTCAAGTCAACACCATGAATGAACTTGGTTGGTATGTCTTGGTCCTTGACTATTTAGCTTCTGCAAATGTCTCTGCATCACAGATTTAAAATAATGGGATTTTAAAAAGGGAGAGGTCTCCCTGGCCCTGGTGGAAATGATGCTCTAGGGCCCAAATTTTAAACTTTTTTTTTTTATGTTTGCAAAAGTGGGTGTTGTATTATATTCAAGGACTCAACATTTTTATATTTGGTTTTTAAAGAAATAGGGGCATTTCATTCCTTTATCAGAGCCGACAATAGAGAGACCTCAGGAAACGAGGAGAGAAGAGGAACAAAAACTGGGGACGATGTGGTTCATGGTGGGCACCAACTCCAGTACTCCCAACATCTACATATTTACTACATGGAAAGCCAACTGGTATTGGTCCTGCAGCTTCTTTTCCTCTAAGTGGATTTATGGAGGTTTATTGTCAAGAGACATCAGAAGAATTACAAGTCACAACTAATCAGATCAACAGGTGTTTCAGATCTGTGTCCACATGTCACTCAGGACTGTGACAATGAGGACATTTTACATAATCCAGATGTACAGTGTTATGGAAAATGTAGGATCTAGTGTTTGGAGACCGTAAGTCAGGATACCTCCACCTGTACTCCTCAGATATGGACAGTTCTGTTTTTAATCTCACATTAACAACCCGAGGAATGAACTACACATTGTTCTCATCGCATCTATGCTTTGGGTTTTACTTTGTCTCTTAAAACACTGCAGGTCTTTACTGGGTCAGGCAGTGTGCTGGTGCACAAACAGAGCATTCATATGGAATCACATCCGCTCACATTCTGCCTGCTAAACCAGACCAGACTGGACCTGATCCAGGCTAAATACAAACACCATACACACAAACAGTATGCTCTTATTTTTTGTGGGTCTGGGTCCCTCCTGCATAACCCCACCCTCCTTAGAAATGTCTGACCTAACACCAGAAATCTTTTGATGTAACTTCTTTACATTATATTGACCTCTACTCAATGTTTTTTTTTTTTTTTTTTAAATCTGAGGCACTCAAGAGGGTCATCAATATAAAAAGCCTTTAACATGATGACTGTTAAAAACAATGAAGAACCATGACTGAACAGCCATGAGATATTAAAGCCCTTTTAAACTTATGACCCTCATGTGCCTCATATTGCTTTAAAATTTTTTTGACTCCATTTATTTCAGCTTAATAGTTCTGTCGCACCTGATGGCCAAACTATCATCCACCTCAGCTTCATAATATAAAGGATTTCCCCCATAAGTGTTTGACATATCACATGGGAGGAGTCAGACTGAACATCATAAAACTGAAAGTCAGACAATATTGAAAACATGATTCAACAATGTGTGTAGAGTTTTCACAGCGCAACAGTCAAAGCAAGAATCTGTAAATATGTCCTGAAAAGTGTAAGGGTGAAACTATGCTACTAAAGAAATAAAAGTAAGAAACTGATGTTTACCTCTGCACAACATGGAGCTGATGAGCACCTGACTCAAAAAGATGTTCAGAGGACCTCAGTTTTACAGTGAAATTGAAATTCATAACCAGGGTTTCTTTTATCGTTGTTAACTCCGTGTCTTCAGTCACATTAAGCCTCAAACTGCAGTCACTCCAGATTTACTAAAACCCAACAGTGAAAACGTAAGAAAAAAGAAAGAAAAACAGAGCGTTTAAATACAATCACTTCATAGGAACCCATGTTGCAGTGTAGTTTGTTCCTATCCGGAAAGATTTCCAGACGCGCCGTTGCTATTGGTTGCAGCAGCAGCTTCATCAGCAAGCTAACGATGCTAAAAGTGGCTAATCTGTCAGAGAAAAGAGAAGAAACGTGGTGAAATGTTCAAGTTTATTCACTGACGTTTTAACACAGATTGTCTGGCATTGTGACATCATCGCCGGGGCTAACTTTAGCTAAGTATTTTTCTGAGGCGCTAAATGATTTAGCAGAATTAGCGATGAGCCTTTAAACCCAGCAGTGTTCGGTAGGTTGAGCGGCGGCTAATAGCCGCTAACTTCTCTGTCTGTATGAACGGAAAGTCTCCAGTAAGGTAACGGCACAGTTGGCAAAAATATCGGTTTAAAATGCGTCGAATCCACGGAAACCAGCGGGGACATGAGGAGGATGTCTGCACCCCAGTGAACCAGCTGGTCCTCGGTTTAAACTAAAGGTGAGTCAGAGGTACATGCATTTACGGAATTAAACCGGGTCAGACTAACCGTACAGTTTTACCGCTGCAGTATGTGGATAATTAATAAAACCATCTGACGACAGTTACTTTATAGTGACAAATATAAAACCAAGACAATCCTTTAACGTCAGACAGGCTGAACTAGTCACCAGTCAGAATAACGTAAGACCCTGTAAAAATCCTTGGAGAATATTTATTTTTTATTTAACCTATAGTTTACCAGGGGGAAAAAACTCACTTTAGTCTCAAACCTCATTTCCAATTGTGCCAAATCTCCAATAAGGAGTCCACCCATCAGTCCACAAATGTGTCTAGCCCAGGTGTGAAGACACATTTAGGCTATACAGGATTAATAAATTGTGAATAACAGATTTGGTTAGTAAGCCATGCCAATTATAAGCCATCAATACATTTGGGGTTCAGGAGTATAATTTATTAGGATTGAATAAGTCCACTGATCACTGCCTATGAAGCCTTTGTAACCAGGACCCTGTTTATTGCCCTCAAACAGTCCTGCTGCCAAACCAATTCTGGGAACCTGACAACCAGCTGGACTCTTCTGGCATTTGAACATGACTGAGATAGACCTGGACCTGAGCTGGTCCAGACTGGATTGGAACATTTCCCTCTTTACCAGATTGGCTCATGGGGTGCTGACACCTCCAACATGTCAGGCTGTGGTCCCCCTGCTGTAGAGGAACCTCCTCTTATTCCTGGTCCTGGGCACCCCCTCCTGGCAGAGAAGGCCCTGTCGGAGCCCTATGCTCGGCTGCGGTATCAGGATACGTCCCTGCTGATCTGGCAGCAGCAGCAGCAGGAGCTGCAGGTGGCGCCCCCCTCTACCTACCTGAACCGCAGCCAGTCAGCCTGGTACAGCAGCTATGGGAACCAGGCCGTTCTGGTCCGGGACAAGAGGGGCCTGGAAGACTCAGCGGGACGGTCCAGGATCTGCAGCATCATGTAGACAGGAAACAGAAACCTGGACCAGAACAGACTGGTGTGATTCAGACTGAACTCCATGCAATTTTTAGTGAATTTAAACCCGATTGAAGGTCTCACAAACTCCATCATTTCCTGATAGTTTCCTTTAATGTTTAGTGGGAAAACACACACACACACACACACACACACACCAGTTTGGTTCTTCGAAATAAACAGTTTAAACAAGATGTTTCCAACTGTTTCAGCTTGTGACCCCTTAATATTTATCTTCTCAAGGTACCTTTGAGTTGTTAGCAGTTGAGCCAAACACTGAGTTTCCATTTTAACCTCAGATGATTCCTTATAGTCCTGAAACTGCACAGCACCTCACAAGAAAATGAAAACTAAAGAACATTTCATAAAATCTAATTACACAGTGACACCCATAGATTTATCTTGTGACCCAAATGAGGGTCAGGACCCACTGATTTAAACCCATTTATCATGTTCAGCTGATTCTTTGTCAGTAAAATTCAGTTGGAATAATTGCAGATGAATCCCAAATACAGTACCAAACTGCATTATTCTATTCATGGATTTTCTAAGATTACCAGGAAATGAATTCACAGTATGATAAAGTGTTGCCAGGTTTTCTGGGCCTCTGGACGTGAGCTCATAGCTTTAGTATCAAATCAAACTTTAGTAAAAGTTTGAGGGAGTCCGTAGTGGCTCCAGCATCTCTAAGCCTCTGTATGAAGTACAGTAGTTCTTCCTGAAGACTGAATGACATTACATCTAGTTTGAGATTTGGTGTTTTAAAACATCAGCTGTAAAGTTTTGGTTGTGGTGCTTTTGGCGTCAGTCGCTCAGAAAACAAGCGGTGTTTATAGGGCCTCTAAGTCGGAACAGATATTCAACAGTCACACAAGGGAAATCCACCACAGAAGAAGAAACACAGCCAGCAGCTTGTTTGGGAGGACTACACAAACCAGAATGCACTGCAGCAACCTTAGATCAAGTTGGGGTCTGATTTCAAGACTCTGGTTTTGTTACATCAGATGGGATCCTGATTCAGAGTTTATATGAACAGCAGTGTTGGTTTTAAATGCGCCATAATAACAATAATAAACCTAGTTTTTGTGGATGAAGCCATTTTTTGACAAGTTGCAGCCACTTCTCAAGCCTCAGGTATGAAGCCCAGAGTCCAATCCAGGTCAAGCTCAAAGAGTGCCAAGGCAGGTATGCTACAAGTCCAAGTTAAAACTTCAAAAGTTCCAAGTCGAGAACAAGTCTCAAATACGTCACAAATCCAAAAGTACCTAGTCAAGACCAGCAGGCACACAGTAAACCAAGTCCAAGTGCAGAGACATCCCAAGCCAGAACCAACAAGTTTCACAATCAAGTGCTAAACATTGTGCTTCAAGTCTTTATTTTCTGGTCTGAACTGACAAACACCTTTACCTGTGACCCAGCTTTGTGGTTGGCTGCTGTCTCTCAAGAACAAAGATTACACCACCTAAATCTTTGGTCTTGAGAGGAACTAGTCATTCACATCTTACCAAAGTTATTGGTTTTATAAGTGTTTTCCATTTTGTTGTGGAGTCAGCCACCTGATTGACCACTTGAGCTGAAGTCCACTGCAAGGTGAGAGTTCCCTACGGCTTTCAGCAGGTCAGTGAATGTCTCGGCTGCAGTTTGGACCATAAACAAAGACTGGTAGACAAATAAGAGCGTCAGAGTCCTGAAATGAAAACATCAAGTTTAACGTGAACATTTACACAACTAGCACATTACTAAAGGTGACCCTCCCCTTGTAGCGTGTAGGCTGAAAACTCACCTGCTGCAGACCCTGACACCGCCCGCGGTTCCTAATACTGACCAGTGACACTGAGGATAATCATAGAAACACGACAAAGAATCAGTGTATCACAGCCACCCTATGCACAAATTGTACTTAACTGTTACTGTGGTTTCAAACACACCAGCATGCTGTCTGCAGGTTTAAATGCCACTTCATAATCAAATAGGTCAAATAATGCAGTAAGGTTTATTCTGCGCTATTTTAAAGAAGCTGTTAAAACATTTCACTGGAAAACACTGAGTCCATATGAACATTTTATCACCTAGATGTACTAACCTTGGTTTTATGTTATCATGCAGCGGAGCTGCTCGACAGTTTAATCTACAGTAATTATGTTTTATACCCAGTGGCAGGGTTATTTAGGACCCCGGGTT